CGTCTAGATGTACCAAAGTCCGTAGCTCAGCAGGGCGAGATTATCAGAGGCATAGCCGCTACTGAGGAGGAGCAGCTTGAGGCACAGCAGGAGGTGAGCGAGCCTAGTGACAGCTCAGACGATGACTACCTGCCTATTCCTCAGATGCCTCCACACAGATACACGATGCAGAGGCCGGTAGTTCTAGCTTAGCTCCACCTGCACCGCAGACGGACCCCGCTTTGATTGCTTTTCTTGAGCGGATGCAGCAGGATCAGGCTACACATGCTCAGGAGACCACTACCAACTTTGCTCAGTTTTAGGCTCGTCAGGATGAGTTTCAGCGACAACAGTAGGTCCTCCAGCAGCAGCAGCAGATGCATTAGCAGCAGTTACTCATGCAACAATAGCTTATGGGATTCATGCAGCATGTAGTGACAGCTCTTGGGGCCCCACAGCCACAGCCTTCGCCCCAGATTGCTCAGCCTGCCACCACTACGATGACTCCAGCAGTACAGCCCAGTGGGCTTCAGAGATAGGGACAGCCTCCAGCTCAGTTTGCTTCTCCCCTAGTACAGATGTCCCAGTGGTTATCCTCGCCAGTGCTAGCCCCGTAGTTCACACCACTTCAGACGGGCTTCACACCGGATCAGTCATCCTCTCTATTTATGCCTGACACGTCTGTCTCTAGGAGTCTTGGAGCATCTTTTAGCGAGTTGACAGGGATGCCTACACCGCCACATATGCATGCCCTAGGTCCTTCTACAACAGCTCCCATCGCCATGACTACTCAGAGGCTTCCTTCTTCTGTCGCATCTTCAGATCCTACGACAGATATACCAGTAGCATCCCAGGCAGCACTTGTCCCAGCTCAGACCCAAATCGCTTCAGCGACGCTTCCAGCCACAGAGGGTTGGTCAGCACAGAGCTCAAGGTCAGATGATGATGCTGCCCAGTTTTAGCTTGCTCCCCGTACTTCAGCGCCTGACTCGTCCGCTGCAGCCCCGCCGACCAGCCCTTAGGTTTTGGTGTTTGACGCTAAAGGGGGAGAGTGTTCGAGTATGTAGACTCAGGGGGGGCGACATTTAGGGGGAGCTAGTTAGCTATTAGTCTTTTATATACATTTGGAGTTTTTTTTTGTGTGATACACTACTACTTTTATGCATTCGTGTGTTTACTTTCATGCATACTATTATATCTGTGTGATAGTGATATCTACGTGATTGTGATATATGACATGTGTGCCCTCTACTTTGAATTCTTTAATATGTCATATCACTTGAGCTATGCTCATTTGCCTTTGCTTCCGCGTTTTTACTCCGATGCAAATGAGCCTTTCTTATTGTACTCATGCTTATTTCATATCATTTGAGTACATCATGATGGCTTGGGTTATATAGCTTGACTAACTCTTTTGTTCTTATTGATAAAAGCTTATATGATCCAAGCATGTTAAAAACCTCAACTCTTTCACATACTTGAGGTTGTATTGTCATCAATCACCAAAAAGGGGGAGATTGAAAGCATATAGGCCCCTAATTGGGTTTCGATGATTAATGACAATGTTAGATAACTGTGACTAACGTGTGTTTTGCAGAGGCAATTAAGTTATGTCATGATTATGGAGATCGATTGGGTAATCATGGTTGTCATGCCCCTATGATGGAAATCGTTTCGGTTTTCAAAGGATGGACGACAAGGTTAAGGATGACTAGTTCTAAGTGTCGATTGTAGTTAAAGAGACACTTAGAGTAGTTTAGAACTTTGTTTTTCCTTTGGCCGTACTATTAAGGGGGGTATAGATGGGTAGCTTGACCTAGATGAGTCTAGTGAGTTAGGTGTGGTGCACACTTGTTAAAACTAGCGCTAGGTAGCTCCTACATATGCTTAAGATCCAATGGAGCAAACTTTATTCACGTATGATCGAGAGTTGGAAGTGAATGGAGGGTCAAATACTGACCGGACGCTGGCTCCGGTGCGACCGGACGCTGGCCGCAGGGTCTGGTCAGTTCATTTGACCAAGGAGATTGCGTCTGGTGCGACCGGACGCTGAGTGGTCAAGTGACCGGATGCTGAGAGGCAGCGTCCGGTCGACTCCAGTAAGGTTCCAGAAGAGTGAATCTGCGACCGGACGCGTCCGGTCAGTGCTGACCGGACCCTAAGGATCTAGCGTCCGATCGAGTACAGTAAGCATCCAGTGAGGGAAAAATGGGACCGGACACGTCCGGTCAGTGGTGACCGGACCCTGCCAGCGTTCGGTCAACATGTAAACACTGGTGTGCGGGTTGAACTGACCGGAGCATCCGATCAACATGACCGGAGCGTCCGGTCACCCCGCAGAGGCACATAACGGTTCGTTTTTCAGCCCATGTTATAAATAGAAGCTCCACTCGTGTGTGGAGGGACTTTTGCTCATTTCAACAGCTGAAACACACCTCAGAGAGTGCTAAGAAGAGCAAGGTCCTAGTGAGGTGATTGAGATTTAAGAATCCAAAGAGAGCCCTCATTAGTGAAGATCAAGAGTAGCAAAGTGTGCATCCACCCTTCTCCCTAGGCTTGTCGTGGCCAAGTGAGAGTTCGTGCTTGTTACTCTTGGTGGTCGCCATCACCTAGACGGCTTGGTGGTGATTGGGAGCTTGGTGATCATTCGGAGAGCTTGTGGATGACCCAACTCAAGTTGTGAGCGGTTGTGGGTGATTCACCGCGACGGAGTATCAAAGAATCAACCCGTAGAGAGCACTTGATCCTTGCGCAGATCAAGGGGAAGCTACACCCTTGCGCGGGTGCTCCAACGAGGACTAGTGGGGAGTGGCGACTCTCCGATACCTCAGCAAAACATCGTCGTGTTTCCTCTCCTCTCTTTACTTTGAGCATTTACTTGGAGCATTTCAATTCTTGTCATTTACATTCCTAGAATTGCCATGCTAGAGTAGGATTGAAACTAGGTTGCAAAACTTTTATGCGTTAGATCAATAGAAACACTTCTCTAGGCACAAGGGGTTAATTGGGCTAACCATAGGACTTGTTTATTGCGAAAAAATTTAGAATTAGTCCAATTCACCCCCTCCCTCTTGGGCATCTTGATCCTTTCAGAAATGCTCGGGGGGGCGCATGCTATCCTCCCGCGGTCTGAGTTTCGATGGAAAGAAAACAAAAATAAATAAAATAAAATAAACCAATTCCAAGCAAATGGGCCGAAACATCTGTTATTGGGCCAAGCCTCACGTACGGGCTCCAAGCAGTCAGCCATTTACCGATGTGCGTCGACCAAAGGATTTCAGGCATACAGCTGCAGTCTTCAGAGGAAGAGGATATATAGGGTAGCCCTGTTCCTCTAAGTCTTATCAGTCGAGTATACCTGGCCACGCAGCCCGAGGCCCGGCAGCCCGACCTTTTGGCCCGACACGAGCACGGCCCGGCCCGCAGGCCACCGGGCTCAGGCTGGCCCGGCTCGCAGCGCCAGGCCGTGCCTGGGCCGGCAGTTGAGCCCACGGGCTGGCACGGCCCGGCACGGGGTTTTGGAGGAGGCCCGGCAGCGGCCCGAGAGGGAGGCGGCCCAGCTCGCCAACGGCTCCCCCCACGCCGCCACCCCAGACCCCACCTATAAAAGGCGCCCGATGCGGCGCCCCCCTCTCGGCCTCCCCTCAGTCCCGCACACCCGCTCGTAACCTAACCCTAATCCCCAATTCTCCATTCGCCCATTCGCATCCCACCACCACCAACCGCCGCGCCGCTCTCAAACGCAGGGGCAAGTGACGCCTCGCCGTCTCCGACGCCGACTCCGGTGACCACGATCCGCCTCCCGCCGGCGTCCTCCCCTCCGTCCCTGCCTCTCCCTTCTCCCTCTCCCTATCTCCCCTCTAGATCTCGTTGATTATGTGAGTTGGTTGTCTCTGTTTGTCCCTCCTCCGCCGTCCGCCGTCGTTGCTGACTGAGTGTCGTCTTCTCTGGACTCTGGGTGCTCGTCGTCTTCTCCAGCACCGGGCTCCGGCTACGCAGGTGAAACCCTAACCCTAACCCCTAACCATGTTCTAATTTCTTCCTTTTCTTTCAATGTATGCTTCTGATTTCTTCTTCTTCCATTATTTCGCAGGCCGGTAGCCGATGCATCGTCTTCTAGCTGCGGCTTAGAGCGAGCAAGGCGGCCACCCGCACCGTCGAGGAACCCTACGGGCCTCAGGCTGGCACGGCCTGGTGATTTGGCCGTGCCTAGCAGGCCGGCACGACACGAATTTAGGCCCAGAGGCCCGTGCTTGGGCTGATGGTAAGGCACGAGGCCCGCAGCGGCACGGCACGGGAGGCACGGCGTGCCGTGCCGGCCCGACATCCTCCGGGCTGTGCCTGGCCGTGCCCGGGCCATGCCGAGTCGGGCGGCCCGATGGCCAAGTATACAGTCGAGTGCTACGGTCCAGGGTCCATCGAGTGCTTGCAGGACGGAGATCGTTGTGGATTGCGGTTTCTTCCGGATATACAGCGACGGTCGCGTCGAGCGTTTCGCCGGCATGGAAACCGTGCCCGCCGGCTTCGACGCCGACACTGGCGTCGCCACGCGGCTCTACCTGCCAGCCATCCATACGGCACCGTCACCTCCCCAGTCGGACGACAACGGCAGTGATCACCTTTTGTAAGTCCTTTCTGCTGTAAACTGGTTTTGCTTCCTTCTTATGATATAGCAGTACGTGCTCCTGCTAATTTTTCGAAAAACACAAACAGTGCCACGGCGAAGCTTCCCATCCTCGTCGTCTTCCACGGCGGCTGCTTCGTCTTCGGCTCACCGGCTGATCCTGATTTCCACCGCTACATGAACTCGCTGGTTGCTAGCGCCCGCGTCGTCGCAGTCTCCGTCGGCTACCGCCTGGCGCCTGAGCCTACGAGGACTCCCTGTCCCTGCAGCCTATGAGGACTCTTGGGCCGCGCTCAACTGGGCGGTTTCTGGCGCAGACCCGTGGCTGTCCGCCCACGGCGACCCCGGCCGCGTCTTCGTTGCCGGTGGCAGCGCCGGCGCGAACATCGCCCACAACATGGCCATCGCCGCGGGCGCGAGCGGCTTGCGCGCCGCGGAACAAGAACCACCACCACGCGTCGAAGGCGTGCTCCTGCTCCACCCTTCGTTTGCTGGTGAGCAGAGGATGGAAGAAGAGGTAGACGGATTCTGGCAAGCTAATAAGAGGAGGTGGGGCCCCATCTTCCCCGGTGCGAGAGACGGGCTGGACGATCCGAGGATCAACCCGATGGCCGCTGGCGCGCCGAGCCTGGCGAAGCTGGTGGGCGAGCGGCTGCTGGTGTGCACGGCGTCGGAGGACCCGAGGGCACCGAGGGGCCGGGCGTACTGCGAGGCCGTGAGGGCCAGCGGGTGGCGGGGGAAGGTGGAGTGGTTCGAGTCACAAAACGAGGGACACGCATTCTTCGTCGCCGGCCACGGCAGCCCCGAGGCCGTTGCGCTGATGGATCGAGTGGTTGCGTTCATTGCTGGCTATTGATTGACCACCTTGCATGTGCACAATAAATGAAATTAAGTAGTGCTGTCCCTTGTGTATGATTCTCGGAATCTCGTTCATTGTCAGGCTTCCTTTGAATTGACACCTGATTCTTTAAATTCGTGCTTTCTTCGCTCTTTGACAGCTGATTTTCTAACCATCGGATTTCAATGTAAGGCCTGTTCGCTGGTGGATGTTGGTGCTAGTTTGGATTGGCTGGTGCTGGTTTTTAGGAAAACACTGTTGGCTGGTTGGTTTGAGCTGGCTGAAACCGAGAAGCAAACAGGCCGTAAGAGTTTAGACCTGATTACTCTCTGAACACTACTTTGGACTTTGATACAACGAGGCTTCACATATGGACTGGTATATGCGCTCCTGAAATGAAATAATATAAAGAAATAATTATCAAATGAACGTGGAGTGCATCATCACTAATAAATCTTTATCAATTATTAATCAGATTTATGGCAATTGGCAAAATCGCATAGGGCATAGGCTACTACTACCCCAAATTACGTAATAGGAGTATTATATATCAGAGAATTAATTACATGTTTCAAGTGCGAGATTATTTCTTGGTCCAGATGCACAGGCAGTGTGCAGTGGTAGGCCCGTAGTGATGAGCCAGAGATGCGGGCCACGGCCACGCCCGGACGCTCGCGATTGCTGCCCGCCCTTTCGGTTTCGTCCCGTCAATCAATTTGGCAGCCGCTGACACCCCCCTCCCCCGACTCCCGTTGTTATTTCATATATCCGTAGGCAGCGACGAAGCCAGGAATCGACGAAGCCAGGGCTGGCTTCCTCTTCTTCTTCCTCCACTTCCTCCAGCCCCTCCTTGCCTTCTTCTTCCTCCTCATGGCGGTAGCCCGGGCTAAGCCCGGGCTCCATGTAAATCATGGCCGTAGGGGGGGCTGGAGCACGGGTAGCCCCCCCGCTGGCTTCGTCGCTGTCCGTAGGCTGCGGGCTCTCTCGCTCGATCACTCGTATACATATACAGCTCCTGCCCGCCCTCCCGCATGCTGCTACTGCGCCTGGGCGCACGCTGCTGCCGCACCTGCCCGCGCGTTGCTGCTGCTGCCGCACCCGCCGGCCCGGCCCCGCCTGTTGCAATGGTACGCATGCGCCTGCTGCCGCGTCTACTTCGCTTCCTACACACGCAGGGACCGCTATGCCCGCGGAGACCACCTCTACGTGCGCCCACTTCCCGCACCTGTTCATCGAATACTTGCAACGTACATCTAAAACAGATAAAATCATTTATAACATACTCTTACAATATATATATATATATATATATATATATATGCATGTTTCACAAAAAAACATATCTGTATATGGGCACTGCAATATACACAACATCATATATTGCAACGTACGTTTGGAACAGCTGAAACATTTAAAACATACGTTTACAACATATGTGTATAGCCAATACAACATATACAACATCCAGATAAAAACACTTGCAACATACGTTTAAAAACAGCTGAAACATTTAAAACATACACTTGCAACATACGTGTATAGCCAATGCAACATATACAACATCCAGATAAAACACTTATAACATACGTTTGAAAACACTGAAACATTTAGAAATATACACTTGCAACACACGTGTATAGCCATTGCAACATATGCAATATCCAGATCTATTTTTTTGCAACGTACATCTCAAACATCTGGAACATTTGATATACATGTGGCTCTAGCGTATCAGGGCCCACACAAAATATTTTATATGTGGCTCTAACATATCAGGGCCTATGGTTGCTATTTATGTTAACCATATTAAGTTGACTTACAATATGATCATGCTCACGTATATTTGTGGTCTATAATTATTTTTTATACCAAATACATTTTTGTGCACGAATGCAAGTATAGACGGTCGCCATACGTTGCTCTAGCTGGTCATTCAGCATAGCTCTCCATGCATGTCGATTAGACCTGTTCATTTCGCTAAAATTTAGGCTGATGTTGATTTGTTATGAAAGAAAATTATAGCTCAAGTAGTGTAAAACAGGGCAAATGTCCAGCGTGCTCTGCTGTACACAGAAGCACTATAGCTCGGCTAATTTTAGATAATTAAATAATATTATGTGAGAAAGAATAAGCTAAAACAAGCTAAAACCAGCCGAAAACTTACCAGCCGAAAACCCTGGACATCTTCTCGTACACATGCATGTCATGGAGTACTCGCATCCTGATGAGGGTGTCCCATGTACTTGTGCATGCACGTATTTGTGTTACATCGGTAAGTTGCGTCCATGCATTAAAATTTAAGTGGGCTCACTTTTTTTATTAGAAAACGGCATGGGGGTGCGGGCTGGGCCACGCGGAGTTGTCTGTCCGGACTCTTGTTTGGATTAAAAACTTGTTTGGGGTGTTTAGTTCCTCCAAATTCCAGAATTTGGCACTATGCAAAAAGAAGATTTCCTGTCACATTAAACTTGTGGTACATGCATGGAGTACTAAATGTTGACGAAATCAAAAACTAATTGCACAGTTTGGTTGTACTTTGCGAGACGAACGTTTTGAGCCTAATTAGTCATCGTTTGGACAATTATTACCAAATACAAACGAAATGCTACAGTGATTACTGTAGCTACTGAATGTATGTGTATCAGTGCATGTGTATCAGCTTCTACTATCGATGTTCAATTGTCCATTGTGTAGCAAATGTTCAGCTGATCCACTGTGTAGCTTCTCTTGAATAGTTCTTAGAATTGTTCTCTTAATTTTCAGCTTGCTCGTTCAATCATTTAGTGATTTTCAATTTGTTTGCTCTTTTTTTTTCCTAAAGAAGTTGGATTTGAGAGTAGGATTGTCATTCCTTCCGTAAGCAAATTTTAATCATTTGGAGTATGTTTTAGTGGCTCACGAACTAACAAGCTGACTTAAGCTAGCAAACCAGCCACAAGCTAAGCCAGAATTTTAGCTCATTAGAGCAACTCCAGCTAAGAGCCTACTTGAACCGTCATCCTTCTTGGAGAGCTCAAAAATATAAAAAGCTCTTCGACCGCGCTTTGTGGGCCCAAGGTTGCTTGATGATGGTCGAGTCTTAGTCGAAATATAAAAAAAAAGCATTAAGTCCGCTTTTGGCCCCTCAACTATTAGGTTCATCTAATTTTGATCATCAACTATAAAATCGTGTAGTGCTGATATATCAACTGTAAAAACCGTTCACTTTTAACACCTGGGGCGTTGGCAGGGCTGTTTTGTCCTACGTGGAGCCGATTTGACCACGCGCACACTGGCGTTGACCGCCACGTAGGATACCAACCTCCATCTCAGTGACATGTGGGGCCCATGCGTCACCCACTCATCCCCTCCCCCTCTATCCTCATGGTGGCGCCCCTACGCCAGCTCACGCCGCTCGTGCTGCTCGCTTGCTTGCGGTGCTGCCCTACTTGCACGTCGCGCCGCAGTGCTACTCGTGTACCGCTGCAGCCTCCTTGAGTGTCGTGCCACCCCCGTGCGTCCCAGATGTGGAGCCAGGGTTTTGGCGTCATCAGTCTCAGTGGCGGCGAAGGACGGCGAGCGAGGGGACAAAGAGGCCCCCTCCCTCCCCCATTGTGACCGGCAGGCGAAATCCCGTCGTCGCCCCCTGCCTACTACTACGGGCGGAGCTGCGCCTTGCACGCACGAGGCGAAGAAGAAGATGAGGGGCCTAGGATAGATCTCGGCCGCCCCGGCCTCCTCACGCAGGTGGAGAAGAAGAGGAAAGGCCCAGTCGCCGTCGGAGAAGAAGAGGAAGGGCCCGGTCGCCGGTAGAGAAGAAGAATAGGGCCATGCCGGCAGATCCGGTTCCGCATCGACGCCGGCAACCCGTTCCACCTCCGCGTCACCTCGACGTTGGCGGCCAAGCAGCACATGTCCTCTCTGAGACGACTACGGGTGGATCTGAGCGACGATTGCGCGTGGATCTTGGCTGGTCGGTGAATGAGGAAGAAGGCAGGGGGTAAGGCTCGTTCGGGGGATGCGCATCGATGCTGACTCGCTCGGGAGGCGTCGCCGAATTCGCCTCGGCTTCCACCTCTACGCCAGTCGATTCGCTTGGGGAATGAAGGCTCCGCCTCCACCCAGATGTGAAATCTGCCTGCGCCCGCGCTCACAGCAGGAAGACCTACGTGACCTCTTGTGCCGTGGCCCTGCGCGGCCTTAGCGCTCGCAGTCGGCGGTCTCCACGCCCGCCACGACGGCTTCGCGCCTCGCTGCTAGGCAACCCCTGCAGCGGCCTCCAATCCCGCGGCTGGCTGCCCCCGACATCCGGAGCCCGCAGCTGGGAAGACTAGGTCCCGGGAAGACCAGGTCTTCCCGGCGTAGGCACCCGCGACCTGTGGCCTGTGCCCACTGGCGTGGGGATGGCATTGTAACACCCTCGGTGTTACATTGTACTGTTTTTGTTAAAGCACTGCATGAGCATCATACTTGTTTGTACTTGTGTGCAATTTGGTGTATAAATCAATATACGTCCCTTGACACGTTTATCTGAAACAAGAAACAAATGTTACATTTCATGTCGCTTTACATTGTTAGTATTCTAAGCGAATTTTTATCGGATAAAAATGTTGTAGAACGTCTATGCGAACTTTGATAGAGTTGGTAGTACGTACTTCGTAGGCGACGATGAAATATGTACGGTTGAGGACGAGGTTCGTTAGATAGCATACCCAGTAGGTCTAAATTGGAATTCGACGAGTAACCATTCGAAGTTAAGCCTTTTCGCGTAAGATTGAAAAGGGGTCGACGAAGCCACTTTTGGCAATTGTTGTAGAGCGATCGGCTTCGGATGTGGCAAGCTATCATGACTTCGGTCGATAGCCCTACGTACCCTCTTGCGCATCGAACAACTGGTTTGGCATTCGGAGTATCGGGTTTGAGTTTTTTGAGATGCTTTAAAAAGCGTGCGTGGCACATGGTTTTGCTCCGGGCGCGGTCAGCACCCTCTGCTGGCCTGGCACTGCTGCTGGCTTGCTAGCGCGCGCTGCCGCGCAGGCCGTGTCCCACTACCATGCCTGTGCGTGTACGCACGCGCACGACCCTTGCGCTGCGGGCCCGGGCCGCCTACCACCGCGCGCTGGCCGCGGCCACCGCCGCTGCTTGGCTTGGCGTCGCTGCTGGATCGCCTAGCGTGCGCGCCGAAGCACCGGTCGCATCCTCACTGCCGCCGTGAATGCACATCGTGCGCAGGGTCCTAGCGCTGCTGCCTTGGCTGCCTGCTGCCACTCGCTGGCGCAAGGGTCACATCGCCGTGGCTAACGCGCTGCATCCGAGACGCTGACCCTGCCCTGCCCTGCCCTGCCTTGCCCTGCTCTGGTCGGAGGCGCACTGGGTCCCGCACTACACGCCGCCAGTCGCCATGCCCGGCACTGCTCCCGTTGACTCACCGTGGCTGCTCGCACGTGGGACGATCGCCTGCTCCACCATCACCTCGGCATCATGTTGCGCTGTGCTTCTCTTGTCCGGCGCTGTCCGCTGTGGCGCCGTACCGAGTTTTGTCGACGTGCGGGTTCGGCTGTGCGGACAGCCCCCTGGAGCATGTCCCGTTGTTCCCCTCAGTTGTGCGTGCTTGTATTTAGCGTTGATGTCCACAGCCGGGCCGAGCCAAGCCGCGCCATGACACCCCTGTCTCTGCTGTCACCAGGGCCGGTGGGGCCGTCTTTCAAATTCACCGTGGCGACAGTACCGTGCTTAAAATTGGTCATGCCCTTAGCTCCGCTAGGTAGCCGATCACCCAACCTACCCCACCGCGCTGCTGGTGCCGCTGCACGGTGCCTCAATTCCCAAATCGCTGCTCCACCGGGTCCTTAAGACCGGACGGGTGCACGCCATGGGCAAGCCGCCTACTCATAGCACCCTGTGGCGATTCATTACATCACCTACCTAGTCTTACCCTCCTGAGCACCCTACACACCTCAGTCGTAGCTTTACAGCAGCCCAGCCTTCCCCGACGCGGCCATGCCATCGCCGTGTGCTGTCGCATCGTCGGTGCGCACGTGGCCAGCTCGGCTCGGGCCTTCTCCGGCTGGACCGACACCTCAACAGTCTCCATGGGTAGTTCCTTGAGCTCGCTAGCTAATTTGTTTGCTCCATTTTCGCTGTGGCTCACGGGAACGCACCCGCCATCGTAGGTAAAGGGCCACCACCGGGGAGGGAGCCTGGAACAACGCCCCTGTTCGCCGTATCACCTCCAGTCGCTGCGCGTTGTCGTTGAGGTAACCATCGGTCCCTTAGATAGGAAATGGAGGGTTGGGTGACGCCGGCGTGGCCGCCTGGTGCCCGCGCCGTCGCGCCAATGCGCGCACGGGTGCCGAGGGACGTCGCCGCGGTGAAGAAGAAGAAGGGGGAGGGCGTAGCTATAAAACCGCAGACTTGAGGAATAGTGCCTTAGAGCTCGCGGTAAATACAGAGTAGTTCGGGAGCGTTTTTGCATGTTTGCCGTCGCGCGTGGGTCTCTCTCGTCGTGGGCCGTTGGCCGGCTGGGCCACGCCCGCGCGTGGGCCACGCTGCGCTGGCACGTGCGTCGCGCCATTGTGGGCCGAGCCGCGTGAGTGGGCCGCGAGTTAGAATTCGGTTTCTTTAATTTCCAGTAAAATAGAAATGCTTATTTACGTTAGTTATGAGTTGAACTTTGATAAATGGTAGTAAATATGTTGAGGTCCAAAAATAGTGAGACAAATTGTGTTAGGTTCACAAAAATACCATCTACTTGATAGCACAGTTAGATTGCAGTTAGCTATGGCAAGTATTGGGTCATAAATTCCAAACTAGTGGGCTAATATTATGTAGATTAGTATTTGTAGGAATATTTGTGGGCAATTGGTGATAGTTATAGACATAAACATTGTACAGTAGGTTCACTAGGTTATCAGGTACTTGCTATAAATTTTGTAGCCTTACAATGCGCTGTTAAATAGAGTGGCCATTACCCTTGCTTTATCGTATATAGCGTAAAATTAGCTTTAGGGATAAGAACACCAGTAGTTGCTATAGTAATAACGAATGTCACATTTCAAACTTATCGGTAACAATAGATAGCTTAGCACCGTGGTCGGTATCACTAGCTTAGTAGTTAAATCGATGTACTTTTATTTTAAAAATTGCTGTTGTCATATTATTAAACATTGCGTCGTCATTTCACGTAGATCGCGAGCTAGTAGAATTTGTGCCCGTCAACGAACAGGAGTATGACGAGGTGATTGAGGAGTACGAGGAGGAGATCCTCGTGCAGGAGAGAGCCTAGGAGCCTGTTGGTGCTAACCCTACTGACCCGTCGCCTGCCCAAGGCAAGCCCCGGTGCATAACCCATATTTTAATGATCACTGAATATATATATATATATGATGTGCATTTAAGTTACATGCATTTTATGAAAACTACCTGCTTAAATATATCTACCCATGAGTCCTACTAGTATAGGTCGAGTAGCTGCTATGCTCAGGATATCGGTAGCGTGAGTAACCTGTCGTTACTTACAAATAGGTAATAAAATATGATCACTCATGATAAAATGGTGGAAAGGAAAGTGGTGACCGGGCAGGGATATTGTTTGGGTACTGGTGGATGTGAGGGGTTGTGTCCTGCGGCCAACAGGGCATAGCTCGGTTACACTTTTTCCCTGTCCGTGTCGATTAAGGACCGATCGTTGCATACGACTCTAGGCAAGTTACAGATTTATTGTCCCGAGCGCATACTTGGGTATGGGCGTAGGGAAGACTTGTTGCTCTCTTGTCGCGGATCCGGCTCTTTTCGGGCCGACTAATTGGAGGCGGAGATGGTGGAGGTCCTTGCACCACACTGAGTCCGGGACTCATAAGTGGGGGCTTGGAGTCTAAGTTTGGACGGGGACCTAGACACCCGGGACAGGAGAGTGATGGGTTAGTCCTGCTTGTGCCTAGGGTACAAGCGGGGCGCGTGTTTTCAGGGCACCCAGCTGGGCACATTGATTCGTGAATCGCCGAGCGATTCGGTACGGCTTGTCTGCAGTTTAGCATCGTAGTAAGAACTGAAAGTTGAAAGGAGAAGAAATGGAACTGATTGCTCAACTATTGCTTGAAAATAGAACATGTGCTTATATAGACTGGCTAGATGACAACTTAATACGGCTGATAATAATACATAAATAAGAACTCACTATTAGTATTGCTTTCTATCAAAAGAAACCAGCCAACAATAAAGCTTATCATATTCCTTGGAGTTGGAAAATTATTCCCACTAGTCGGATAAGTCTTGCGAGTACATTGTGTACTCAGGGTTTACTTGCGCCTGTTGCAGGTCATGTGTGAGAAGTGCCTTGTGTGGAGGATTCTTCTGGTGGGCTCAGACGGATCCTCGTCCCTATCGCTAGATGTATATTTTTAAAATTTCGTAGTTTATCATTCCGCACTCTGATATTTGGTATTGTAATAATGTACTTTTTAAGAAACTCTGATGTATGAAATGGACTGGTATTGTAACCCGTTCTCATTATTAGATCCTTAGGAAAAATGTAGATCTTTTGGGTTCTCCCTTAGGGTGTGCCCGATGGATACCGTCCGCTGTAGCTTGCTTTCGGGGTGCTTAGTGTCTGGTGGAAGACGAGCGCCACCGTAAGTGTGCTATTTTGGATGGTTCTGCCATAGGCATCGGTGTCGGCATCGCTCAGGCTAGAGGCGGTGTGGGTGCGCTGCCGTGAGATGGAGAGGGAGGGGATGAGTGGGTGACACGTGGACCCCACATGTCACTGTGATAGAGGTTTGGCGCCCTACGTGTTGGTCAATGCCAACGTGGCGTGGTCCAGCGCGCTCCACATAGGACAAAATAGCTCTGTCCGCGCTCTGTGCTAAAATTGAATGATTTTGATAGTTGGGGTATCGGCACTAGACGGTTTTGTAGTTGAGGATCAAAATTAGACAAACCCAATAGTTGAGGGACCAAAAGTGGACTTAATCTAGAAAACACATGCACTTGGCATATAGTGAAAATCAATTGGAAAAAAAATTATTGAACATGTATTAACAAAGAAGAATAAATTTATAACAATAGTATGCAACTAAAGAGAAGGGGAAAATGGATTTACTAAATTTTAGCTGTCTGAATTTTAGTTTTGTTCCTGGCGACAGCTATTGCATATATTTTATACTATAATTACCGTTTTAGTTCGTTGTAATTTTTGTAGATATAATCAGTAATTTTTGTTCCAAGAATAAAAAATCATTTAGACAAACCCACAAACCTAACAAAATCTGATATGTGTCGGCACAAAGACAATTTAACAATTTATAATTATTTCTATAGTCAGACAAGGACAAGAAATTTATACGACACAAAGGCAAATAACAAATAATAAAAAGTAATAATTTACTTGTACTCATTAGTAGTACAAAAATGTTATATGAAATTATCTTAAAATTCAGACACCTAAAATATAAGAGAAGTGGGGGAAAAACACCCACAACTAAGGAGGCAACACAAGCTGATAATTTCGGATGCTGACATATACCACCCCCCAGATAATTTTGGTCCTAGTAGTATATTATTCTCGATGGAAAAAAAAAAAGAGACCCGACCCTTGTAGTAACTACGAGCTCAATTATTCGATTCAGAAATGAGCAGCATCTTCTTTTGCTCCATTCTTTTGTTGAAACAATCTTCTTTTGCTCCATTCGTCTCACTCAATGCGGTCGTGGCCACATCCACACATGACGAATTTCAGTTCCCAGCAAAGAACGCGACCAGTCGATCCATGAGCTCCACTGCCTCGCCGCAGCCGGGGTTGTGGAGGAAGAAGACGTGCTCCTTGCCCTTGGACTCGAACCACTCCACCGCCCCGCCCCGCCCGCTTGCCGCGAGGGCCTCGTAGTACGCCCTGTTCCTCGGCCGCAGGAAGTCTAGCTCCGCCGCGCAGACGAGCACCCTCTCGCACGGCAGGTTCCGCAGGCTCGGCGCCGCGGCGGCCAAGGGATTCACCCGCGGGTCGTCCGCGCCGTCCGTCGCCTCGAGGCACACGATCCCCCACAGCTTCTCCATCAGCGCCACAAACTCCGGCGTCTCCCCGTCGATGCGCTCCCTGCCGCCGAACCCGGGGTGCAGGAGGACCGCACCCTCCATTCGCACCTCGGACGCGGCGGCGGCCATCATAGCGACGTTGTGCACAAAGTTCCCGCCGGCGCTGTCGCCGGCCAGGAAGACGCGGCCCAGGTCGCCGTGATGTGACAGCCAGGGGTCCCCGCTACCAGAGGCCGCCCACTTGAGCGCGCGGAAGGAATCTTCGTAGCCTGCCGGCAGCGGGTGCTCTGGCGCGAGGCGGTAGTTCACGGAGACGATGAGCAGGCCGGCCTTCGCGGCCAGGGTGTTGAGGAAGGGCTGATAGTGCGGACACGCTGCCGAGTTGACGACAAAGCCGCCGCCGTGGAAGTAGACTAGCACGGGGAGCTTCTTGGAGTCGTCAGACCCGGCGGCCGTGTCCGGGAGGTAGAGGCGAACGTAGATGCCGGTGTCTCTGTCTACGACGACATCTTTGGAGGTGACGCCGGTGGTGGGATCAAAGCCGGCCGGCACGGTATCGGTGCCGACCAAGCGGTCGATGCGCCGGTCGCTGTAGATGCGGAAGTACGGAGTGTCGAGTATGATATCGGAGCTCGGATCCATGGCGCGGATGCAGCGGGTGGGAGCAGTGCAAGGCAACTAGCAGGAGATCTGAAGGTCCAAGTCTCCACTCTGATTGCGGCAGGCAAAGTGACCACGAGCTAACCAAACCAGTTGCAGTCGATATTAAGAGGGGCGGCTGTGGTGGAGAGGTCCGTGTCCAACTGTCCATCGCCGCGGAAGCGTAGAAGCTGGCCGTGTGGAAATTGCTGAGAAGGACATTTCCGGGAGGAAGCTGATGGTGGTTGGTGGACCGTGGGCGAGGTGAACGTGTGGTCGGTCGTGTGTTCCTGTCGGCGGACAAGAATGTACACTCCCGAGCCCGTAGCAGGTAAGCACTTTCGACGCATTTGGGCCCGTGCGGACAACAATACTGCGCAGACATCGACGGGCCTCTTTTTATAATGTTTGGGCCTATTTTGACTCTCGTACTCCGAATAGAGGAAAAGCCCATAGTTGATTCTAAAAAAAAACCATAGTTCCATCCCTCCATTGGCCCATGAGCTATTCTATGTCATGATGATTTATTTTTTTCTTCAAACTTCAAAACCAGAAATCTTACCCTCTCAAGTCTCAAAACTGTTTAAATTAGCTCTTAGACAGGTTAGGAGTGATTTTCAAGGCGGTTTCATCAAATTTTATAGTAAAATAAAAAACATAAAAAACTTGATATGGTTTTAAAATTGTTAAAAATATTTCTATGATTTTAAAATTTTGAAACAAATCATAGATAGATATTATGTTTTGAACGATCAGCAGGGGAGGGGAGCCCCTACCTATTTTTTTTGTGTATATATATATATATATATATATATATATGAAGAAATGACATTTACAAACTATACAAGTTACAAGGCTCAAAGAGCCAAAAGAAAAAAAAAGGATATAACATACCAAGAGTAACTCTATAGAGAGATATTAGAGCATCTCTAGGAGTACCCTATTTTTTTTCCCAAAAACATGATATTTTCCAACTCCAAAAAAAGTTTTGAAAGGAATAATTAAGGTCATCTTCAAGAGTTTCCAATATTCCACTTTCAAAAAATCAAAAGCTTTGAGAGAACTGAGAAGAACAATCCTGCCCAAATTGATTTGATATCTCCTAATGTGATGTGAATGAATGAACAAACAAACGGACGATGCTTTGCCATGGCAGGGAACGCGGTGGGCGTGCTGGGCGACGACCCCGTGGGGAAGCTGAAGGTGTTCGTGTACGAGATGCCACGCAAGTATACAACAAGATGCTGCTGGACAAGGACAGCCGGTGCCTGCGGGGCGTGTCAGCGCCGATGATTTTTCCCGTGCTCGCAGCTGTTGTTCCCGCGCGCGTCGATAATTCCCGCGCCGTTCCCGTCCGCGTCGATAAGTACGCTCAGCTTTTCCCTGCCCGCCCCCTTCTTTCTCCAGGGCCTTGATTAGTTAGCCAGAATCCAAATTTTGGCACTATGCAAAAAGAAGATTTCCCGTCACATCAAACTTGCGGTATATATATGGAGTACTAAATGTTGACGAAATCAAAAACTAATTGCACAGTTTAGTTGTACTTTGCGAGACGAACGTTTTAAGCCTAATTAGTCAACGATTGGACAATTATTACCAAATACAAACGAAATGCTACATTGCGCTATAGTGCCAGAACAGTGTGGAGAATTCCGGCGGCGCCGATTCTGCAAGGAACTACACGCGGCCCAGGTAAAGAAAATATCAAATATTCATAAAATAGTAAAAATAGTGAAGGTGCACGTGTTTGAACTCAAGATCCCGTGATCTAGAATGTCATTCCCCTACCACAACAACATATATGTTTGCAATAAATGTGAAATATTTTCATTATTAAACCATATCAAACTAGAAAAATATATCACACGCCATTCTTCATAAGATACTAAAAAATAATCGTGGAACATTAAAATTATATTATATGCACATCCAAAGATATATCGTAGAACATCACATGTATGCCATGTGAACATCACAAAATACAACATAAAACATCACATGTATACCATGTGAACATTAGAAAAAAATCTAGAACATCACATATATATATATATGAACATCATAAAATATCTAGAGCATCACATGTATACTATCTAAACATCTTTAAATACTTTATAGAACATCAAATGTATACCATGTGAATAACAGAAAAATACATCTACAACATCGCATATATACTATGTGAACATCACAATAAAAATAACACAGAACATCGCATGTATACTATAAGAACATCACATTTATGCTACGCAAACATCACAAAATACATCATACAACATCACATGTATACCACGTGAACATTAAAAAAACATCACAAAACATCACATGTATAACCCGTGAACATAAAAAAAATCATGGAACATCAACAAAAAAAAATATAGAACATCATCAAAAATAATAAGAAAGAAAAAAAGAAATAAAAGAAAAGAAAAAAAATAAAAGAAAGGTAAAAGTATACTAATAAACACATAGAACAAAAAAATAAAAATTGAATGATGCACGAAAACAAAAAAAAGAAGAAAAGAAAAAAGAAAAATAAAAAAAATAAAAAAGATAAAAAATAAAAACATGAATCAAAGAAAAAAAGAAGAAGAAAAAGAAACAGAACAAGAAAAGGAAACAAAAAAATAAATGGAAAATGAAAAAGAAATACAACAACAACAAAAATAAAAAAACTGAAATATCTGCACCCACTATTCAACCTACGAAACGAATTACGGGCTGGCCACGTCGTGGGCCCTCCTCGGCTCCCGCTCGCACGTAGATCCGCGGCTCCCGCGCTCCCGACGGTTTCCGCGGTCTCTGTTCGGTGCGATGTTCGGGTCTGGCCGTTCGGACTCGAAGGTTTCCGGGTGCTTGCACCTCATGTTCGTCGCTGAGATCTTCATGAACCAGTTCCTGTTGTCGAGCGCGGTGCGGACGCTGGACCCGGAGGAGGCCGACTGGCTCTACACGCCCGTGTACAGGACCTGCGACCTGATGACGCAGCCGTTCCGTGCGCCGCCAAGCACATCTCGTCCTCCATGTCTATGGCCGCCATCCCCCTTCTCGCTTGGCTCGCTCGTTGGCGCGAAGGAGCCTGTCGTGGAAAACTTCACCGCGCGAAGGAAGAGAATCGCCCAGCGAACCTCGATCCGTGCAACGCTAGTCCGCGTAAAGTTGCGCGCATCGGGGGATTTTTTTCCCAAGTGCTTAAAGATTGGGATGATGGATTGGGGGTTGTTGGAGAGGGGTTTTTTCGATATGGCTAAAAGACAAGAATTAGGAAGACAAATAGGATACTCTAGGAGATGCCCTTAGGACACGATAATCTCAAACACAATATTTAAATCTCACATATTTTTTCCAAAAGGTTCCAAAAAAAAGATTTACCTCTATAAAAATAGAAAATATGAAAAAAAATATATGAAAAATTCTCATAACATTCCAATTGATGTATAAACATGCCTTAAAAAAATTTCAGCAGAGAACATTTTTCTCTGAAAAAGTCGAAACATGGTTTTTTTTTCCAGCTTCTCCTTACAAACTTGGTATGAATCATAATGAAACTGTAACTAAAATAATTTTTGACAAAAAAATTAAAGATGTAGCTTTACCAGAGAAATTGCTATAAAGGGAAGTCTCGGATCTAGAGCCCTTTTAGATGATGTGCACGGCGTGTGCCGGAGCAACCGTCCGGTAGCTTGCAGGAACGCGGCCGGGCGTGGAGCCGACGACGCTGCTCTCCGATCCGCTCCTCCCTCCGAAGCGAACACGCATGCACTGACGGGAACCAAGAGGCCGTCGAGGCTGAACACCGCTGGTCCGCTGCAGCCAGCGGGCCGTGGGCGCACGACCGTACGTCCCTGCGGAATTATGCGACTCAGGCGCCGTTTAGATCAAAAAAATTTAGATTTTGGCTCAATGTAGCATTTCGTTTGTATTTGGTAATTAGTGTCTAATTATGGACTAATTAGGTTCAAAAGTTTCGTCTCGCGATTTCTTACCCAACTGTGTAATTAGTTTTTTTTTCATCTATATTTAGTACTCCATACATGTGCTGCAAGATTCGATGTGACGATACTGCGCAAAATTTTTTAGAAAGCCCTCACATGCGTGCGTGCCCGGCCCGATCCTCTGCTGCGAGCCGGGAGGGCGGCCGACCTATGCAGCTGCGGACTGCTGTGGGGGATCTCAACTGGTGCTCGGCGCGTATTCCCGCGATATCACGGCCAATCTAGCGACCTCATTTAGGGCAATGATTGGATCTGCTTTTCCGACGGTCGCACAGCCAGGACTGTAGGACACGCCGCCAGCTCAGGCGGGCGTGGCGAGGAGCCCAGGATCGCGCCGCGTTGGGGAACGAAGGCCTTTGGTTCCTCACCAAAAGTTTATATTCTATCCCATCGAATATTTAAAAACATGCCTAGAGTATTAAATATAGGCTAAAATATAACTAATTGTACATATTACGACTACTTTGCGAGACGAATCTTTTAAACCTAATTAGTCCTTGATTTGACAATAAAGCGCTACAGTACACACATGTGCTAATGACGAATTAATTAGGCTTAATAAAATTCGTCTCGTGGTTTGCTGACCGATTCTGTAATTTATTTTTTTATTAGCATTCAAACACTCAATGCGACACCCCGTGTAACACTCCACGTTATACACAAAACTTTCCACCATGTGACTAAACAACGCCGAAGAACGGTGACGGAGCGGCCTGTGGAGGACACGGGACTGAACGTCGATCATGGCCCATGGGACGCTTTCAATAGCGTCATGGACGTTTTGTCAGATCTGATCTACCACCGGCGTCTCCCCATCAATATGGCAAGGCAGGGCAGGAGGAATTGCTGCTGGGACCTGAGAGTACAGTACGTAGGAGTACGGCGTACGGGGTTACCGCCTACTGGCAGGTGAATGTCGAGAGGACTCCTGTGCACTTGTACTGGCTACTGGGTTACCGGCAGGTGACTGTCGAGACACCTGGGTGGGTTCATTCACATGTCAGATCG